TGAAAGAGAAACTAAGGAGGAAGGGACGTTTGGTCACATTATAGTCACCGTTGCACTTTCCTATAATAGCGTGACCTTACGAGCAGCTCCACGAGTACATACATGCTGCTTGTATACGTATAGACGCAGCACAGAATATTCTCGTGAGATAGATATAAACCAATTCATCAAACTGCAAATAGAAAAGAGCAGAAAATTTCATATTTCAAAGATTATCGAACGAACATTTGACATTTTCTAATTTAGTACTAGCTGAATATGATTTTATTTGAACTCTTGTTTTAATGCATATATTAATATATTACTTAAAAACTAGTATTAAAGGTAGCATAAAAGTAAATACACAATGTAATACACAGCGCCAGAAGGCAAGACGCAGGTAAATATGAGGTATTATTAGTCCATTGAGTCAGTGCAGAAGTTTTAATAAGTTTTGTTCCAAATGAGTAGACTAATTATAATATAATAATAATTTAATGAGATACATATACTGATTCTCTTATAACATGTGTATAGTAAATAGAAATGTTTATTCTAATAAACAAATTTCTGAAATATTATTCAATGAATTTATATAATTGAATGATATTAATAAATTTGTAGCTCACCACAAAGTGGAATTGACATAACGCGGTGGAAACACGCGTAAAATACGTCTGACGCAACGGCTTATTCTACTTGAGAGGCGTTTCTTCAACTGTTTCACGAGTTGGTTTCATTCATTTAATTTTATTTCATTCATTAGTTTCACTAGGTCATCAATCGAGCCTCTTTATCAGTTGGGAATCGGCTGTTTAAATAATATAACCCATTGCATCAGACGCATTTCACGCGTAATTTGCCTGTTAGCGTCAACGTATTTTGAATGGAATCGAAGGCGCCTTGCCTAGCGTTATTTTGTTATCGAAGGACTTATGATAGGGACTTACAAGGGAACGCACTGAGGTGTCCCCCTCCGATCTTGATGAAACTTCTTATGTCTGTTAAGCAGTCTATATCCGAAATTTTTTTATTATAAACAAATTATATTTTGGACAATTTGTTAGCACCATATCATTCTACAAAAAAAACCGCAAACGTCGTCCATTAGAAGTTTTCATGTATCTTCTCTGGTTTTCGACATAGTACTGTTGGGTTGAAACTTCGAGGGGTGGTTTCACCCCTTAAAGTCGCGTCTCAGCCGATAAAAAAAAATACGTATCCCTTATTTTTGACTGCTTAACAGATATACGAAGTTTCATCAAAATCGGAGGGAGACACTTAATAAAATTCTGCCCATCTCTATACCGATGCCAAAATTCTAAAATGTTACGAAATTCGAAGTAGAAACTTGGATTTCTGCAGCGTCCAGAATCATAATAATTATATCCATCTAGTAATTATTTTTAATTCAATAGAACAAAGCATCAATGAATGTTTACTCTGAATTGCATATTCTTTCTACTTCTCGTTAACAATAAAAGTTAATTATTATTATTTCAATAACAGATTATAATTTTACAGTGTATGTACTTAATGAAATCAAAAAATCTAGTAATTAGATTCACCATACGCAGCACAAATATATCCTTGCCCCTCCCTCGACATTTCCAATCTGATCCAGGCTTCTCGGAATCTCGGAATACATAAAACATTCTCGTTACATAATGTCGTTAATTATGTAATGGAAATCCTGCAGAAAATCACAACGCGTAATAAGAACGAAAACCATACGTGTACGAGCTCGTCAAAATATTTTTTCTAAAGGACCTACGTGCATTAGACATTTTTGAATCCTCTCGGTGAGTACTATAAGTCTCCAAAGTATTGAACCCTTTTTTATCACCTTGTACACCCACGAGCAAACTCTGCTTCCACTAGGGGAAAAAATGGCGTAGAATAAAAGTCTCCTACCACTTGGTAAATTCATTCCGAGTAATAAATTTAATTTGGCATAAATTTCAGTAATTCCAAATACCAACAGGTAGGAGCATGGTAGGAGGCCCTTCTCCTACGTCAACTGTTTCCTCTAGGGGAAGCCAAGTTTGCTCGTGAGTGTACATAAAACTGCGGTTCTTCAGGACCAACTATCCTAGAAAACCCTTTATAGGGATGGATTTGTCTCCCTATTATCTCGTATAATAGGTATTCCCCTATACAGCGAAGAATATTATATTGTCCATTCCTATGTTCCCATAGAATTTAAATTATTGTCATGGACACACAGTGTCTTCCAAGAAGTACAATACAATTCATTGGAAGACGAGGAAAAGAGGAATCGGCATAAGTGGGGGGTAACAGGCAGACGAAGGAGAGGATAGAGAGTAAGATATACATCGCGCCATTCACTTTGCTTCATCCCGATGTAGGACACGGTCGTCTGAATCGCATTACGAGATGTAAAAGGGGTTCCTTAGGAAAGTGCCACGCGCGAAAGACGACGCTCGATGTCGTTACATCGTAGTCCAATTTTGCTGCTCGCTGCTGTAACATCGCTCGGACATTGTCGAGTGAAATCCGTTCGGAGTGGACATCGTTAACCATAGAACGATGACGTTAACCGGCATCGTTGACCATTACAAAATATTACGACGTCCGGTTTTATCGTAACATTTACTCAGGAAGTAGATGTTGTATCATTGCTAAGGTGGTTATTTCTTATAGGTTATGTTGGATTCTTAGTTACTAAATTGTGGATGCTTATGCAAATAATGATCCCTAGGGAGAAAGTCACAGTAACTCGAATCGAATTGGAATTTGTTCACTCTATTAAGAGTTCTATTATGTGCCAAGTAAAATAATTGTCAAACTTTTTGAGCCACGTAGTTTCAAACGGTCATATAGGTGCATCAAAGTTTCAGTCTAATAATAATTATACATAGATACACACCTGTATTTTGTCTTTTGCAATGATATCCTTCTTATATTCATATGCACGTCTTCTTTTTTTTTTGTTATTTTTTCTTACGTTGTATTATACTGATACCATAGAGACATATTATTATAAGGGGTGAAAATAACAGGAGTAAATGACAAAGCTTACTTTTTATGTGTAACTTATATTTCTATCATATTATGAGTAATATTTACTATTTATTGAATATTCTGTATCATTTTTGTAACAGAAATTTTAAATAAATTATAGCAAATGTTGCATTCGTGCGTATAGATATTGTTATCGGTAGCCACATGGAATTTGTATACTTGTAGAAATTTCAACACAAATGGAAAATATACATACATGTACTCTTACGAATATCATCTCTAAAAATGAAAGTAAAGAGAAGGAGAAATTTATTTCAGTTTAAATATAGTGCGGAAATTGTGAAATGATTACACAATTCCATTCTTCGGATAATTGGACGAAGGATGAACTTCGTCTGCGGGAATGAAAGATGGCTTGTTTTTCTTAATAAATCTTGAAAGCAGATGAACCGTCAACATACTTGGCTTATAATCAATATCCAAAAATAAACAAACGAGGTAACGGTGTCGTTACAGTCAACGTCATATAAGTTTGCAACGTCATAGATATGGCTTACGTTTCATCGGTTTACGGTGCTACAGGGTGGGCTAATTTTAAAAGCCAATAACCGGCTGACGAAGATGAATGAACCTTTCAGTAAAATTTTTATAGTATCCTTTCAGTAAACCGCAATGTGACGTCATAATAATATAGACGTTTGTCGTCATGGACGGCCTCGAACCTAAACTTGGCACTATAACGTGATTTACCACGTGTTTCATCGACAATGTAATAACAAAAGCAAAATTCCCTTATTCCTCTTAGACGAAACACTTCGGAGAAAAACGACGCGAAGTAACATTTTCAAATACGCAATATATTCCAAACGCCTAAATATGTATTTGTGCTAAATAGGTTTGGTGGTACAAGAAAATGTCAAAGAGAAAAGTTGCAACATTCCGCGGGGATAATATTCGCCTTTGACATTCGTCTTTGATGTCATCTGTAAAGTTATTCGAAAGTCATTTTGTCTATTCAAAATAGCATTATAGGTTTCAGAGTTCGTGGTATTCTAATGTCGAAACGAATTAGATGACCATCGTTCCCATGACAAATTAAAAAATGTAGAAATTTATTTATGGAGACATTTGTGAAATTAACAATTAGACTTTTGTTCATGCAAATTCAGATTTCTATAGATTAATTGAAAGACATATATATGTTGATATGTACCTGGTTAATTGGTTTGTTTTTTTAACATTTTTTCGTAACTGTAAAAGCGTAAAATCTGTAAGTCTATTAATAATGTTCAAAATTACATGTTATTACTTTCACTATTGCTTTGGCGACATTGAAAAGGTATAAGAGCAATGGAAATAAATGAGACAATTTTATTGGTGGGTTACAATAGTGCAAAACAATCGTCATTGGTGATTCTTCTGGTGACATTATACGGTATAAAACAAAAATGAAATTTTTAAATAAGGAAAAGCCACGAGAAAGAATATATGTACTGGATTAATGATCCGATGATTAAGTATATCCGCTGCAAAAATAACCGCTGATCTTCAAAGTAAGCTTGTTATCAATGTACGTATCAGTATAATGCGTAATTTTTTATGAAACAAAGAATAATCATAGCTGGATGAGACGGAAAAATGGTGTTTACGAGCGCTGAAAAGCTCGATAAAATACATAAGCGTATTCATTTTCTTCAAAACGTTAGGTATTAAGTGATCATTATTTATTACCTATAATTAATATGAAAATCGTACTAACATCGAATATATTCCATAAGATGAATGTTTTTTAAAGACTGAAGGATGTTGTAGATTCTTCAATGATAACATACATGATAGCAGTAGACAAAATATATATTACGCTCTCAAGTTTCTTTAAAGGGAATCGTACAATATCGGGTTACTCTTAAGTTCTGCTCCCTTTGTTGTAACACTTTTATTTTCTCATTTCTGTATGTATCATCACGTCGCAAATCATCGTTATTGGGTGGACTCAGACATGACGATAAAAAAGAAACAATTTCTTCTTGTTGCAGATCCTCCAGTCGACAGTGTGTACATGATATGCGGGGTGCTGATTGCTATGGTATTAGTGGGCGTTATTATTGTCCTGCTAGCTATAACGATCAGGTAATAATGAACTTCGATATTCTAATAATTCAGACAATAATAACAACTGTTTTTACAGAACACATTTTTGTCCCCTTTAAATTAATTGTTTTGTGATATTATTTCATTACCAATTGCATCAGTAAGTTCAATTATCTACGATAATCACATAATAATATGCAGTAGTAGAACCTCGATTATCTGAACGCTATTTAAATGAATTTTTCAATATAAAATACATTTACCAGAGAAAATTGCAAAAATGTATAAGGAAAAAGAACACTGACACTAAAATATCCAAGTTATTATAAAGTATCTGTTACTTTAGAAATAATTTTTAAATACTACAAAACTATAAATTTTGAATAGTATTTATTTTTTCAATTCCATTTTAATTTTATTTTGCATAAATAAAATCGATTCGTTTTAATATGCAAATTTCCAATCCAGTTCATACAATCGAGGTCTACTGTATTTACATTCCGGAAGAAAATTCCGATTTAATACAGGTGACTTATTGAACGTGATATCAGTGGCTCACGTGTGAAACATTTAAAATTATTTTCTAAATTCGTCAGAACAGCTCCGATACGTTTTAACGGATTTCTGTTGTACTTGGCGCGGAAAGTACACGGCGAGAACACAAATGATTATCATAGCCACCAAGGAACAGCTTCGAGAGAGCCACCACGGATACCAGAAAACAGAGAAACGCGAAGTTAGAGAGCGCATGAATAAATCCGACTAATTAGATTTCCTAGACCAGTGAATAATACGCGATGCAAGAAGGCACGATACAACTGAGACTAGAAAGTGCACAATTGGATACAATTTAATCCCCGTTCCGGGCATTAATCACATTTTAATTGGACGTACATCAACAAATCGCGTGTTGTCTAGTGAAGTTCAATCCCAATTAAGGCCACCAATGATCTCTCTCCTGTCATCTACTTTCAGTCAGACGAATTCTAAGTTCAAATTTCTTCTACCCATAGTGTGTCATCTACCGTTTGGTAAAGAAACTCAATTTTTCTGACAGGTATACCCTGAGAAAAAATAGACTAGAGTTTCTCTTTGGAAAATTCTGTAGACTGCAGAGATGAAAATTAACAAAAAGTTGGTACAACAAGGATAAGATGTGCTTTACCAGAATGCTAATCGTATTCGGTCGTTAAAGGATTTGCTGAAACGGAGTGAATCATTGATGAAAATATTTTAAAAAGTATATAAAAATATTTCTTCCCAATTGCTAAATAATTTTGACATGAAAGCGTTAAGCCTCTATAGTCTATGACATCTTTTGGCTATGAAGTGACACACTACTTCATTAATACTTTTTAAAATTTTGGATTATAGTCCACGTATCTTAACTATATACATACTTGTTGAAACATCTGTGAAATGTCTGTTGAGCGGTCCTCTTAATTGCGTAAATAACCGTTTCAATTACAAAGGTGGTTTCAATTACGGAAATGGTACTGCGTCGTAGTTTCAATAGCGAAAATGTGAACGTGAAACCCGATGCCATTAATTCTATTGTACTTGTCGTACCATCGATGACGCCAAAGCTCACTGCTTCGGGGGAACAAAACCTGCCCCTTCTTTTTCGTCACGTTTCTGGCTCTCATGTAGCACAATTCCCGGTTGCCAATATGTACCATTGCCATGTGGATAATATTTTTCAATTCAACCGACTTATGCGCCGTAGAAATCCAATTAGTCGTGCAAATTAAGAATTAAGTTAACCTGTGCATACAGTCACTCACGAAAGTCTTCATACACACCATAAAAAGGTCATTTTGATTAATATAAACAATAACCTCGTGTAATATCATGTTTATTTATTAACATATGAGGTAACATTTACTATTTTAGTCTATAGGAATAATTTAACAAATAAGAGAGAAACGAATATTGCATCTCACAAAAGTGCCAAAAATTTGTTCGTACTGTAAATAATTTACAGAGATCTACTTTTCTTCACGTTTTGAAAGCTACTTGGTTGCAATTTAGAGTTCTTTAACGATTTCTGAAACTATTTTCAGGGTAAATGGTACTTTGATAGTTTGATAATTTTGGCAACGGATGTTCTACTGTAATAAAATTGAAAGTAATTCAATTATTTTGTTTGACTAAAATTTAGTTTATTCTTCATGATTTCCTAGTGAATGGCAGTTTAAAAAGAAGTTTCGAAAATAACAATATACTTCTTGGTATTTTTTACTAAATGATACCTTTGGCTAGAATTTAACAGTTCAAGAATTCCCCAAATTCCGCTGAAGTACTTGCTTCGTGGAATTTGAATTTTTAATTCTTGCACAATCTGTTCTGTACGTTCTTAGTCATAGCCTGATCATATTATCAGAGATATTACAAAATGATCTACCATGGGTTTCAGTGAATACGCCGAATGTGCTAGTAATGCTTAAATATAGAAAAAACATTCATCGCCTAAGAAGTGGTATTATCAGTAAAAAAATCTTAATCTGATTCAGATAAGAAACAAGTTGTCAAAATAAAGTCTTGTCACGCTCGAGTTGTAACAGTAGGCTTATCATCCAATACGTTTCCATGTCTGCTGCAATATATCGGAGCTCTGGAGCTCTATCGGAGATTTAGGGTACGGCACTTAATTGTGAGGTATACCTACTCGACGATATACTGGGGTGGTAAATTCAGCGAAGCCATAAAGTCTGCCCAGCTAGGATCCTCGGGCCCAGGATCATCTTCAGCATTTGGAAAATTTTCCGAACAACCGAACAATAAAAGGAATTGTGGCAGTGGGCAGGTGATACCTGGCACAAATATTGCCCAGGTCTGTGCATAGTATAACCCTTCTAAATTAATTTCCCATTCACACCAGACCTGAAGATTTTGGATAAGCTGAAAACTATCCTGGACCCAAGGAGCCTAACTGGACGACGTTTATGGCCCAGCTCAATTTATTACTTCGTTAACATTGACGATGCAGTGGTTATCATTATGTTTAGGAGAATACATCGCACCCTCGCGAGAAAAATGTAAGAGGTTAAAAAATTTCATTCAGAAAAATGTCATATGTTGAAGTGTGATACTTCAAGTGAGGTGGCGTTACTGTCACTTTGTTTAGTATATGAAATGCTAGGTAATGAATCGGTGTCTTTTCGTTCTGCTGAAAAATTACGTGTTTTCGACTTGTCTGACACTTTTCTTGCGGAGTTGTGATATACATATTCTTCTCTATATGTATAGTTATCGTGCAGTTGTAGTAGTAAGAATTTCTTCCAAAAAGAAGACAAGTTTCTTTAATGTACTTTCTATCGAAATTTCTCGTTCGGATCATCGAAATCAGTTTCTTTGCTGCTGGTAATCCTGATGTACAGTCTTAAACACACCATGTCTTCAGCCATGTTCGAGCCACAGAGCGTCACGTGTTGCCTATTAAAAATTGACGGTAAAGAAGTAAAACGTGTATTCTAATAGATAAAGCGAAACATCGATAGGTAGTAAATGTTTTATATACTTTAAGACATAAATACGAAGAAAAAGATTAACATAATTTCGCGAAAGGCAACCTTAATGTTTTTTCCTGAATAACTTTCACAGAATCATCGAGAGATCAACTTCTCAGTAAACCTGACACTTTTTCCTCTTACTATAACCAACTCAAATGTTCTCATTTAAACAATTTTCATTGAAAATTCGTTTTATTTCTTGAATCTAACATATCTAGACCTCTTCTATTTATCTCCAGTAATTAGTACCAAAAACATTGAATGAAAATTTTATATTTAAAATTGCTTGGATCTAGGATTTGTAACACATCATACAGGACATTCTCTCTATAAACACGCACCGTTATTTAGTTTTAGAATGTGTTGATAAACACATTTCACTGTTCATTAAATTAATTGACAGTGGGCGGCCATTTTGCAGCTCACATTCGAATTTATAGTCAAAGAGGGCTTCTTTTTTGGACACAAAAAAATAGAAGAATATAAACGATAAAGTAAAACAGGCTGTGCTTTAAATGTTCCATAAAAGTTTTCACATTGAATGGTAGGATCATATTCGTGTCGCGCTCACTTTCATACACCCTTTCGATACTTTCACTATCGCAGTGACTACATAAGGTGTTACACACTGATTTTCATGAAAGTTTGTAGAAAGGTAGCGAACAAAACACGATATTTATTACTAAATGTCTCGAGAACTATACTGTATGTAGGACCAACTGTCGCAGAGAGCTTAGAATTCAGTTGTCCACTATTTTTCTATAAACTTTCATGAAAATCAGTCCGAAGCACCACGTCGGCATCGACGTGATTAGAGCGAACTTCTAGTCGATGAAATATTAACATACATCTATATACATAAAGAGTTTTTATAGCAAGAGTGTATTACATTTTTCCTTTTTATATAAACAAAATAAAAATTCATATTTAGAGAGAGAACGTGACAGTGTAAAAAGACAAGTAGTCTTCATAACTATTACATACTCACAGAGACGAAACAATACATGATACTAATATTTTATTCCGTAATTTAGAGTACGTAGTCATATGAGAACACTTGGAACGGAAGGGTTAAAAATCACGTGCTCAATGATCTAACCAGGTTTTCCTATGCAGATTTCCCAGCAACTCGAGGTTCACGTGCGAACTCGCGTGAATGAAATGTGTAAATCCGATAATCTATAAAAGAATTCCGTCGTAAATCCCAATTAAGGATTTTATCTTGGGTTTATCCGACTGTAAGTTTTCCTGTCCGGTGGAATCGTGCATAATCAAGATGTCGCGAAAAGGTTTCTCCGTGCGCGATACAATCGATAAAAATATTTTCTCTCCGGTGTGGTTCCGTCGATTTCTCCCGCGCAATTGTACGCCGCGATTAAATCCCGGAAAGCACACTTCAATGCGATACGATTTCGTTGGAAACTTCTTCGATGACTCGAACTGACATCAAAGAATCGTGCTCCTTCCACGTTTATACCGTGCGTTATCTGTTGAATTCTTTGAAACCACGGCTCATAAAACAAAAAA